TTACCTTTCCTCTTCAGTGAGTATTAGTGGATTCATCACATGTACTAATGTGTTGAGTTTTGGTTGTTACTTTTGCCAGATTCTTCAGATGCCCAAAGATAAGCTGGTAGGAGAATTGGGCAACAAATACATGCGCCTAAGAAAAGTTTGCATTGTTCTGGAATCTTCCCTAATGAATCTTGATGATTCTCTCATGCTCTTCCATGACTTCTAAAATGATAAATTTACATTCCCACCTTGCTTCCCTGACCGTACTTACCCCTTTTTATTATTAGAATTTAGGATCTTGCATTCAACATCTCATCAACAAGTATTTTAATGTGTGCACTCTATTTTATTTCTTGAATTATGAGGAGACTTATTAACAAGTCTTTGTACTGTCTAGTTTGTTGAGTTCCCGCCTATTTTTCGGTTATGGCAGTTAGCATATACATGGCCAATCCTTATGATTTGACATAAATCTTATTAAACAATGACTGACCTTTTTACCAACACAAATATGAGCCACTCTAAAATAATATATAAATGTTATAAGGATTACCATATTTAGGCTCATTTGTTTGCACTACTACTTAATAGAGGGTTGAATTTGAATGGTTTAGACATCAAATTATTAAGTGTATTTGTTTTCATTAAGATTTAAGCACTTAATAGGTCTTAATCATTAAGACCTAGACAAGAGCATTAATATTATTAAGAGGTATTCTTGTATGGATAATATTCACCATCACTTTATGCACAATCAACGGCCACCACCACTGACTACCTCCACCATTGTCAATCATCATCGCCGTCTCTGTCATCACGACTATTACGGTTGCTAACTATTACTGGCAGTTGCTATTGCACTTATACTTATCTTCTCCATTGTTATGATTATATCTACTGTCACCATCGATACCATCTCTGTAGCCTCTGCCGCTGCCACCGTCTTTATAACTGCCGCCACCTCCACCACTATTAACACTATAGTCAATTCCTACTACCAACATACTTCGTTATCATAACTAACACTTCACTAACTACCACCATATATTCTTCGATCATCACCACCACCATTACTATTGGTCACTATCATAATTGTGGTCAATCTCTACTACCAACTATCTCTGTCATCATAAGTAGCATTGTCGTCAACTATCACAAACACATCACCAACTATCATACTTTCTTGAGCCACAACCATCAACACCGTCAACTACTAATATCAATTAACTTCATCATTACTATTACTAACACCACCATCAATCACCATCATAATGACAGTCACCACAACACCAACCACCTCCATCGTCACAACTATCACTACCATTATTGCTGGCCACTAACAATTACTATTATCGTCACCACCATCACTACAAACTATCTCCACCGTCACTAACTTGATAAGCGCTTTATCTTTTTAATTGAAAAATGAATTTATTTTATTAATTTTATTTAAATATTTAATTAATTTTTATTTGAATTGTATAGTTATTATGTATGTATAAAGAAATTATGTACATTCAGGTATTGAAAAATAAATAGTTTTAATCATTTAGTGTTCAGATCTAGAGACAACATCTTAATCACTCATATGTGCATTCACATTCAGACATTTAAATTTTAATGAAATGAGGCTTTAAATATGAGCAACTTAAAAAAATGACTGTAATTTGGACATAATTAGAAATTTATAGCTATAGTTTTGGATATTTATAATTCATAGCCACAAATTTATTGAGGAAATTGATGAGCAAGATTGGGGAGATGGAGGAGAGAGGCAACTAAGATTTGGGAACAAATATAGGCTATATCCTTGTATTTATTCACTTTTGTATTCATTCGCGATACATAATACAAAAATAAGATTGATACGAGTTATATTACTAGCATGCACATTTATATCACTTGTATTCATTCGTAATACAAAAATACAAGGTGATATTGCTTGTATCACTTGTATTAATAGTGATACAATTGATGAAATTGATCCATGTATCTTTCATCCTCTTTTTTTCTATGTATTTTATTTCATGTATTTGATAGATTATAATTGATATAGACACACAAATTAAAATATATCCAACACCGGAAGATAACAGCGTATAAGAATTTTAGATGATTTTTTTAAAAAAAAATTAAATTTCATCAAACACAAAAATTTGTACCCAAAAAAAAGAAGAGAAAAAGATGACTAAATAAAATGAGTAAATATATAATTGATACAAACACATAAAAAATATCAAAAAAAAAGAAGAAGCTAAAGGAAGAACAAATAAAACTGGAAATTGAGAAAAGAGGCAGTGAGAGAGGCAGGGGGGTGGGTGTTGGGAGGGAGAAAACAATTTATTTTTTTATAACTAACAGATTTCATTGATTACCAAGTGACTTAGTTACAATTTCAGCACCACTATAACATAGTCTGTAGTGGCGGAGTTAGAATTTTTAATAAAGAGTTTAAAATTTGAAGATTGAGAAAGAAGAAAGATGCTAGAAAAAGTGAAGTATAATTATAAAATAATTTTTTTAATGTATAGTTATGTATCGTAAATAAATAACATATATTTTCTAAATCATGTAGTTATTTCTTTAAATATATATAATATTATTTATCAATTTATTATTAACATTACTATTCTTTATATTTATAACTTCTCGCTTAATAAATAAATTAGATAAATATTACATTTAATATCATTAATCCTAAGTTGCATTATTATCGAGACAACTGAATGACTTAACAATTTTCTTTTTTTAGTTTCATGTTAATTTAACAAATAATTTAAGTAATTTTTTCTCCTTGATAAAAGTAAACAATATATAAGTTACTATAATTTTGTATATTCTATAGAATTATTGTTCATGTTTCGCACTAGAATCAGTAATTTCCTTTCCTACTTCTTTATTTTGTTTCATTTTACATTGTTTGTTATATTTTTTTTAAAGTTTCATTTCATTTTTTTTAAATATTATTTATTTTATGTGAATATACTTAACAAGATACAAAATTTAATAACAACAAAATGAAAGTTAAATTTTAAATCTTGAATGTCATTGTATTAATTTATGATTATAAAATCATGTCGTCGAGAATAATGTATGAAATTTGAAATTATAGAAAATGACATTATTTTGAAAAGATCACAAAAAAATTGTGATATAGTATTTTATTTTTTTTGGTTTTCCACCCGGTTTTAAATTTGGATTTGCGTCAAAAAGTCTCATATTGAGGATAAAGCGAAGGAGTACTTATCACTCAATCACAATCTTTTTGATTGTGATGAAATAGTTGCACTAGTGATAAGCAAAAATAGATAGTATACTTAATTAGTTAGAAATTATATATTTTAGATGTGTGATTGTATAGATAGATAAATTTATATTAAAAAAATAGCATATAATAAGTATCAAAACTTCTTGATGATGACATTTACTGGCAATTGATAAATGTCGCATATTTCGAAATAAGATGCACTAATTAATGCATGGATGCAATAATTAATGTATTGATGCATATTTAGATACTTTCGTTTCTAATTACTTGTTCACATTTGAATTGACACACCTATTAAAAAAAATTATTGACATAATGAGTTTACCATTTTACCCCTATTAATTATGAGGTGGATGAATTAAAAACTTAAGGTTTTCAAAAAGTTATACATTTTTCAAAGTAATTAATTGAGAGTATAATAGGTAAAAAATAATTGTCCTTTCTTGATTTGTCAAAATGGACAAGTAATTAGGGACAACTAAAAAGGAAAAAGTGGACAAGTAATTAAGGACAGAGGGAGTATCAATTACATTATATATATATACTAGATATTTGATATTGAATACACTGATGAAATTGATATCAAGTATACAAGACGAAATTAATACCGAATACAATGAAATGCAATTAATTTTGAATACACAAATACATAAAATCGATAATGAATACACAGATATATGAAATTATAAAAATTGGATACATTGTGAAATACATATATAAAGAAGGAGAGGACCGAGTGACGGAGAAAGGCAACATATCTCAAATATATGCAAATCACGCTCGAATATAATGTACTCCCTTCGTCCCTTTTTATATGTCATCCCTTTCTATAAATAGTTGATCCATAATATTTGTCATTTCATAAATCAATGTATAAATTACCATATTGTTCTTTTTTATCCTTGTGAGTTATTAGCCTTGAAAATATATATATTTGACCAACTTAGAAAAACTAAGTAAATGATTCATGTTCAATGGTTAAATTAATTAATCAAAATAAATTAATTCATATTCATTGATTGAAAACTTAAGTTCCAAAAAAATTAAATAAGGGTAGAAGAGTAAAATTACATCATTTTTAATGTAAGTGCAAAGTAAAAAGGTGACATATAAAAAGGAACGGATGAAGTATTTGACACTTAATTTAACTCACATGTATTTGAGATTATATTCAAAATAATATTGGAAAACTGTTATTTCAGCATATAATTACCATCAATAATGGAGTAGTATATATTGATTGTGTTTACTGTCTGTTAATTCAAGGGAAATGTGTATCCATTATTAAGTGCTTCATAACGAAAAGGCAAATGTGTATCCAGTAACAGGTAGTAATTCTGTTGGTGTGATCAAAAGATTATATAACAGTGTCACTGCAAAGTTGGAATGAAAAAGAAGTGAAGATAGAAAAATACATGCGTAGAACCAGAAAATTATCTTCAAGTATCTCAGCTACTTCTTCAATTGACGATAAATTCAAACCCTAAATTACCAGTTCTCGTATGTGAAGAAGACTCCAAAATGACTTCTCTGACAATGGCATGCTGCCCCAATTCTTTTCAGCTTCGATTAGCATTCAGCTGCAGAAAACCTCCGGATGTGTTCTCCGGTATGCGTGTTAGAAACCTGGAGCGTCGTCGGATTCATTTGTTTCTGTTTGCTGGGAATAACAGGACAAATGATAGTAATTGTGTTGGAACGAGAAATACGTGGCTGAATTCTACGTCCTCAGATGATGGTTTGGGTGGATGGTCTGAAACTGATGATGTTGCTGAAAAATCCGTTGATTCCAAGGGGGAGAAGCAGTCGTTTGCAGGTGAGTGAGTGCTTTATGCTGAATGAAGTGGAATTGATAGAGAGGATCCTATTGCAGACTTCATCTGGTTTGGGGATTTTTGATTTAATAAATGTCTTGATTGAGCTTGTGGTGAAGTACCTTTACTTTTGACTCTGAGAATTATATTGCCGTCTTATGCATTCTGTGTTCAACTGTAGAATGCATCAACAACATACACACTATAATTCCACAAAGTGGAGTCTCGGGAGGTCGGAAAAAGAATCAATGACAGTGAAGGAGCCATGGAAAAATACTATAAGCATTCTGGACAGTAACTATACAAATTAATATGATATTCAAAGTATAAGAAACAACAAAGTGTAACATAAATCCAAGTGCAAGAAACTGCAGACTGCATCCATCAATCAATTGACTATTTCTCAATATCTAATTAGTTGGAGTCAGTTATATCAATCGTGTATCCTTTAGAGGATTATTTATTATGGTTAAGACTATTTTATAGCCATCAACCTACCACAATCTCTTCCTTTATCTGGGCTGTGGACATTTATGCTTTATGAAGCTCACATAGACGACCGATTTAACTGCATAATGCATATTAATCTTTGGAGTGATTAAATAAAAAATAAAAAAAATCTTTGGAGTGATAGATTCTTCTTTGTTCTCTTATGGACAAATAACACTTTCAGCACATCTTTTTTCTAGGTATTGTGGTAGCAGGAGCAGCTGGTGTTATCCTTGTGACTGCGCTTACTTTTGCTGCCTTGTGTATTGGCAAGCGGAACTCAACAAGTGAGTTTATCTGTCACCTTCTCTGGGGACCGAGAGCCACTCATTTCAAGGGGAGCACATTTATTGGAACAATGATGAGATAAAGAATCTAGCAAACACATTTCATTAGTATGTGGTTAAGAATTACTCCTTTCGTATCAACAAATGGTCTTTGAAAGAGCCTCTGTAAGACATGTCTAACAGGTTTTCCTAATAGTTGGATCCATTAGAGATGAAACTGAGTCAACATCTGCTTTCATTTTGGGAAGTTTTATTTTGCAATAATCATCACATATGAGGAGGGTTTAAGTAGTCATAAAAAGGCTACTAACCATTGCAGTTGAGCAACTTCAGTTCAGATATCTGTGGTTCCTTGTTATAGCAGTTTGGTTGTGTAACTATGCCACCTTTGTTTGTTAATTTGAACAGCAGACAATAACAATGCATGTCCTTAGTACTTTTTCTTGAAAGCTGCTAGCTAGTTTGATTCATGACTTTCAAGTGCATGTACACAGGAGTGAAACATCAGAGGGAACCTTTAACAGCGCTACAAGAAATGCCAATGGCTTCTGATAATCACGACGACACAGTTGAAGATGGGAAATTTTTAGAGAACAGTCGAATGGAAAAAGGTATAAATAATGATCTTTCTTTATATGCAGAAAATGATGGAACTATTGAAAAAGTAGAATTAGTGAATTAGTGAAGATATGATCTTTCTGGCAAGTTGCTTGCTGCCTCAAGCTTTGAAAACAAGGAAGATAGTCTTGTTGCTGGAAAAATAGAACCAACAAATGAACCAGGGGAGAAGGAGTTCAGTGATGCCAAATTAGATGTAGCATCAGTCCTAAATCCCAATGGAACAGATTAAATTGATAACCAAGAGGAAGTATCTAGTTTAGAAGGACTAGGAGATTCCAACACTTCATCAGACAAACCTCCTATTGAGCCTTTGATCATCAATATCTCATTAAATCCACAGTCAGAAACACTTTTAGAACCCAAGATTATGCATCAAGAGTGTTTGGAGATTACAAGCTCAATTTCAGTCAAGAATGTCGACCACGGCGATATATCAGAGGTCTCAAAACCAAAGAAGATAAGTCATCTTTATAAGTGCATAATTTTTAAAAGGAGACAAATGGTCTAGAACAATGTCAGCGTCAGTAATAACTTGTGACCAACTTGAAAAACAATTTTAAGGATATCAATGGAAGAGGATCTTCTGTTAACTCAATAGATTCTGGTGATGTATTTACCTTTGTTGGTATACCTGCTCCATCTACTACCTCTGCAGTTCTGCAGGCACTTCCTAGGAAGGTTCTGGTACCTGCCGCTGTTGATCAAGTCCAAGGTCAGGCACTAGCAGCATTACAAGTTTTAAAGGTACTTAAAGATTACTTTTCCTTCATTGGAAGAATTCTCTGTTTCAAGTTCTCTGATTTACATTTTCCTTAAAACAAAATCTTGAGGTAAACCATGCACCTCAGAAATCTGGAGCCAAACAATGGCCTTTCCCACTTTGCTCTCTTGATGACTCTCAACACCAACATCATGAATTTACTTCGAAGGATATTTTTTCCATGTAACTGCAAGTTTGGTTCAACAAAATTTCGTTAGTATGGAGTAAGATCTTACCTTTCCACATGTGAAGTGTTCCTCTCTGAAAATAGTATAGAAGCATTGCCCTGTTTTAATTGACAAGAAAGATATGGGTAGATAAGTGTTGGTAAAAACAAAAAGTTTGATGGGCAATATCCTTCTGAAAATTTCCTTATGGAAAACGTGTATCTTCCATAATCTCTCTTACCTACGAAAAATGATGGGTTTTGATGACTTTTATTTACCATACTTACAACCAATCAATATCTATATTAACGGCCCTTATTTTATTGTTTGGATGAAGATACTAGTAGAGTTTGTCTATTTTGGCTGAAGTAAATAAAGGAATGTGCTTAAAAAATTTACTGCCTGAAACTCTTGAAGGCATTTGGCCATGAATTTTTTTTATTTTTTTCCGGTAAATAAGATAGCAGAATCTTATACTTATGTTCTTTCAGGGATCAGATAACAGAGTGTCTATGCAAAGTAGAACAAGGTCACTTGGTGCAAGTGCAACCATCTTGTACTGAGATATTATGGGTCAAAACCATAATAGGATTCGATATGTTTGATGTATAGCTTTAGATATGAAGGATAGATTTCTCTTTGCTACTGTAAGTAAACCTGTTGGCCAGTTGGATTACTTCATCACTATAACTGTTTAGAAGCACTCCTCCTGCTGCCCTAGGTTGAGTCACCAGGAAGGTGGAATGCCTTAGTGCTTTGCACCTTGTTGGACAAAGGGCATGCCTAGAATAAGATTGTCATAATATGCCACAGAATGAAAAGAAAACTGAAGGCAGACTTTTCTGAGTTCTACTTCTGTCCCTCTACCACCTCCTACCACCCAATACAATTAACCCTACACTCTCATGAATAGTCTCACAATGTATTTAGAATGAAAATTCAAACATGTGTTGATATGATCGTATTCAATTCATGTTTCATTCTTGAGAGACTTAAATATGTTGCATAACATTAATGGGAAAAACTCTTTAATCCCATGTTGTTTTTGCAGTTGTGCACATAAAGAGTTCTGCTACTGGTTTTGAATATTTAAATTCTAGGTTATTGAGGCTGATGTCCAACCTGGAGACCTTTGTACTCGACGTGAATATGCTCGCTGGTTGGTGAGTGCTAGTAGCGTTCTATCAAGGTTTACCTGTCTAATCTTCATAAACTTCTACATGGTTGATCTTGTCGTGCTTTTTACCACTTGAAAATAAAGTGATTACCTATGAGGAATAGCGGGTGCTTTTGAATTATTTTACAGAACCAATGCCTCAAAGGTTTACCCTGCAATGTACATTGAGAATGTTACTGAACTTGCCTTCGATGATATTACGCTTGATGATCCAGACTTCCCTTCCATACAAGGTAGAGCTTCAGAATCATCGATTTTCTTCTCAGAATTCTGCTTTTACTTCTGTTAAATACTTTGAAGTTGCTGTCTGTGAATGCCAATTATTTCCAGGCTTGGCTGAAGCAGGTCTAATTTCGAGCAAGCTCTCAAGACATGACAAGAAGTCATCTTCATATCCTGACCAAAGTCCCTTCTTCTTCACTCCCGAAAGGTATAATACTGCTCAAAATAACTTCTCTTTGTTCTACCCTCTCTTCATCAATAGCACCTTACATTTGATGTCATATGAGTATTGCTACTTTTCTTATTCTTAGATCTCTATATCATTTTATTTGCTGATAAATATTGACCCTGGTATTCTTACAGGCTAACTTCATGTCAGTGCTAATATAGTTTTGAGGCCAAATAGTATTCCCCAAAATCCGGTTCCACTTATAACATTAAAGTTTTTTATTGCAGTCCTTTATCACGTCAGGATCTTGTCAGTTGGAAGATGGCCCTAGAGAAAAGACAGCTTCCAGTAGTTGACCAGAAGGTTGCATACAAATCGATAAAAATGTTGGTTTTACCTTGTTTATGACACATAACAGTGACTAATCAGTAGGTGCAACAATCTCTTATTTATGGGCAGTCCCTGCAGAAGGTCTCTGGATGGATAGATACTGACAAGATTCATCCAGATGCATGGCCAGCACTGGTAGCTGACTTGTCATCAGGTGAAAGGGGAATAATAGCCCTTGCATTTGGTAAGTTCTGTTCACTGCAATCATTTCTGACATGAATCATCTTATTCATGAGAAATGAAAAGTATTATTATTTGCCAACCTATCAATACAGGATATACAAGACTCTTCCAGCCATATAAACCTGTGACAAAAGGTCAAGCCGTTATTGCCCTAGCAACTGGTGAAGCTTCTGACACCATTGTTGAGGTACTTTCGCGCATTGAGGCTGAGTCAATTGCTGAAAAAGCTGTTGCATCATATAATTCTCTGGCAGCTCAAGTTGAGAAAGATGTGAATGCAAGTTTTGAGAAGGAATTCATATTGGAAAAGAAAAGGGTTGATACAATAAAGAAGTTGGCTGAGGAAGCAAGGCAAGAGTTGGAAAGCTTGAGAGCTGAGCGGAAAGCAGAGCATCTTGTAGTTATGAAGGAACGAGCTGCTGTTGATTCGGAACTGGAAGTTCTTTCCAGGTTCAGACATGAGGTAGAGGAACAATTGCAGAGCCTTAAGAGTGACAAAATAGATATCTCATATGAAAAGGAAAGGCTTGGCAAGTTACATAGAGATGCAGAAATTGAAAACCAAGAGATTGCACGGTTACAATATGAGCTTGAGGTTGAAAGGAAAGCATTATCCATAGCTAGGTAAGAAACATATTGTTAAAATTCATGGCTTGAGTTCTCTTCTCTAATCAGATATCAATCTGCATAATTGATTCACTGTACCTGGATGGCTCATGGCTCTGGTAAGGTGAGTAAATTACCTGGCTAGTTAATCAATCACACTGTATGTTTGACATTTAGATTTCTGGGAAGTTGCAACAACATGATGTATCATGAGAGTCAGTTCTGCTTGAATACAGTCTTTCCTGATGTTGCCACCACCATCTCCTCTGGTCTTTTATTCTAAACCTTATTAACTTGAATTTTGTTTTGTCAAAAGTATAAGTTGGTCGCATTTGTTAAAGCATAGCTGACAATGGGGCAAAGTGGCCCTGGCTATATCAAAGCCGCTGATATTCTGCACTTGCATGTTTCATGTTGAAACATTTCAGTCATCTTTTATTTGGTTCAACAATTTAATACTAATGCTAAAAAATATTCCACACTTTTCAGTTGCATTTCACCTTTAGCTCATCATGTTTTAATCTTGCACCCAGAGCTTGGGCTGAAGGTGAGGCTAAAAGAGCTAGAGAGCGAGCAAAAACACTGGAGGCGGCTAAAAACCGTTGGGAGAGACAAGGCATCAACAAAGTGATAGTTGACAATGACATACAAGAAGATTTGAATATTGATGTTACATGGCTCAGTGCAGGAAATCAGTCAGTTGAAGAGAGTCTGAATAGAACTGAAAGTTTGATGGACAAGCTCAAGGAAATGGCTGATACTGTAAGAGCGAAGTCAAAAGAGACAATTCATAAAATAATGGAAAAGATACTCTTTGTGATATCTGTGTTGAAGGAATGGGCACAGAAAAGCAGACACACAAATGGCAGAGCTAAAGGATAACGTCCTCGAAGATGGGTGGCTCCGTCAACAAGCAATGCAACATAGAGCAGTTGATATTGGCTCAGGTTTCACGGATGGAAAGAAACAATTTTGCTGGAGATTGCAAGAAAGGAGTATCACATATATTCAAGACGTGACTGAACTCAATATTGCATATTCTTGTATCAGTCTTGTACTAACCAAAATAATCATATCCATATACTAGGGAAATTTACCCTCTATAAACTGAAGTGATGTTATGTGCTTCACTCGTTGTTCTCTGGAGACAACCATATTTGGAACACAATGGTGCTTTAGTTTCCTGAAACTTACAGATGAAATAATTCATCTTTCAGCCAAAGTTTACAGCAGTGGCTTGTTTTCCCTATTGTGTTGCGCAATTTTGTTGTCCACTGGAGCAAAGTTAATCTCTTAGGGGTCGTTTGGTAGAATGTATAAGAATAATGCAAAATAGGGTGTATTAGTAATGCTTGCATTAGTAGTGTTTGCATTAGTAATGCCTGCATTAGTTATGCAAGTATTATTTCTTATACATTGTTTGGTTTGATGTATTAAAAATAACAAATCTTGCATAATTTCTATTAAAAAAATATATGTTTACAAAAATACCCTTCACACTTTATTTATTTGTACACTTCCTTTGCAACAAAGTTATTTGCTAAACATCAAAAAAAAATACTTTGTCTAAAACATCATTAACTCTTCATTCTTCTTTTTCTTTTTTCTAAAAATAATATTAAATAGTTACACTATTGAGTCAAAATATTTTTGTAAAAAATTGGCAAAGAATTTTTTTTCGTCTATATTAAAAACAAAGCACTTAGGTTGTCATCAAATACTAATAAAACTATATATATATATATAATGAGAAAATGTCCAAAACAATCTCTTATGTAGGCAGGAATGATTTTTCAATACGTGACTATTTTGGCGGGGCAATGACCAGGTTGCGTGTGATATTGTTGCATGTAACTAGAGGATTTGCAGCCATGGCGTGTCTGGACTTTCTTTGTCAGCATAAATACAGAGCTGAGCCTCAATTGTCCCTAATATTTTCTTTTGGGTGTATTGATATGGAGGAAACTATTTCAGTGAATAGATGAAGCAGCAAGGTAAAAGGAATACTAATAAAATACATAAAAGTAATGCAATCAACTCAAGAAAAAGATAGTAATTACTTGTTCACATCTAATTATTACTAAATCAACTAAGTTCAGATTCTTTTACAACAAAAAAATTCTTCCTTCAATTTTTTATCATATTTTAAGGATGAATTTATGTACTACTAATTAAGAAAAGCATGACGGATGTGAAAAAAGAATAATTTTTTTTTTTTGAGTTAATAAGTTGGGGTGAGGCAGTGGGCTGCTTAAAATTTATCGTCACAATAGTAAAATTTTTGATTAAATTATATTTAAATTAGATTTTTTAAAAATATATTTAAGAGGCCATAAAGCCTATTAAGACATCAATTAATTAAAAGACACTAAAAAACAAATCAACATAAAAATAAAAACTTATGACAACAAAGAAAATGAAAAGACTTTGAGGGTAGTTTTGTAATTATTTAATCTAATGCATGTGTTAAAATGCTACTCCCTCCGTCCCTTTAGAGTTGTCCACTTTAGAAATGGCACACAGATTAAGGCAACAATGATTAGCACAGTGAAGTTACAATTTTACCCTTATGACAACTTTTCACTTCAAAATTACAACCACTTATTTGAATTCAAGTGAAATAAATTGGAGGGAAACAACATACACTTTTACAATTTTCAAGAAGTGTAAATAAGGGTATAATAGGAAAAAATTTGTTGTCCTTTCTTGATTTGTCAAAATGGACAACTAAATAGGGACAACCAAAAAAGGAAATATGGACAAGTAAATAGGGACGGAGGGAGTAATAAATAAGTAAAAATGAATATTCTACCAACAAGTTCATAATAAAAAATACTCCCTCCCTTTCAAAAAGAGTGACCTGATTTGATTTGGCACGGAGTTTAAGAAATTAAAGAAGACTTTTGAAAGTGTACCAAACAAAGTATTGCTAATACACACATCTAATGCATGCATTATATTCCTAATACACTCTACCAAACGACCCCTTATTGTATATGATTATCAAGTTACCTTCTTTGTACACTAAAAAAAAGATCCAAAGGAGGGAGGAAATACACCTATGGTGTAAAATATTTCTCCAAACAAACGCAAAGATGTCCAATCGACTTTTTTATATCCCAAAAAAGATGTACATGTTAAGCACATATATTTCAACAGCATTGAACTGTCACAAGTTTGTCCCTGGTATTTCACGTAGAGTCAACATGGACAAATTTCTTGGTCCAAATCATTTCAAAGATCAAGCAGATAGTCAACACAAGTACTACCAGAAAAGCACGCAATTTGCAAAAATGTCTAAAATCTCACTAATTCCAAAATCTTCATGAAACATAAACAGGGAACTTTTGATCACAAGTCTTTCTTGAAAACAAAAATACATTGCAAATGTAAAAGCTGGTGAATTAACTAACTGGGTCCTTCAAACATCAATAGTGGTGGATACAGGCCTCACTTCTTCTTTTCACCACCTCCAGTAGCCCTGTACAAATCAAAACAATAAAAAGAATAAAACATGAGATACTTCGCAAGGACTTGTAACATTCTTCAGCAAGAAAATAATAGTAACGACCATCTTCCTTGATATACTGAATCATTAAAACCAATAATAAAGTCATTACCTCATCTTGCGGAGAACACTAGACATCTCTTCTCTCTTCCTCTTCGCCCTCTTGTGAGTACCCAACTTCCTCTTGGCTACCTTCAAGGCACGCTTGTCCTTTCCAACTTTAAGAAGCTCAGTGATCCTCTTCTCGTATGGAGCAAATCCAGCAACTTCTCTGATAAGACTCCTCACAAAGTGGATTCTTTTGCTTGTTTTCTAATAACAAATAAAATGGAAAGAACATATTATGATGTGTTAAGAAGATGCAAGTAAAACATATCCAATTGGCAAGCAAAAGCATGGTACACATAGATCCAAATCAGAAGTAGGAAACCTCATGCAGGAAACCAGCTAAAATTATTTAACCCTCCTTCCCACGATAATAACACTGTGATAAAACATACTTCGTAAGATTACAAGCACCGTGCTGAAAAGCATTTTTTTGTAAGAGACGGTACATGAAGGGCATCCCTAAACAACACGGCCTACCATCTATGGAATATATGATGCTCTTCACCTCTTTACTCTCAAAGGGATAAATCTTTGTCCTGACACTCGATCAACCCATTCTAGTACAAGAAGTACACACATCTGTTATAATGTCAGAGGTGTACTCTTCCTAAAACTTCAAAATTTCCACTCCCAAATCAAATAAATTGTATTGGTACCCAAAACCCCAAATTACATCATTCTCTTCTAACAACTACAAGAACAGCATAGCCAGGTGGTGTTCTCTTCTAAGACAACAAAAATCATGTGCATCTGACTTTTCCAAAGTCACAAAAATAAACAGGTAAAGGTAATAGAGAACCTTATGCTATAAAGCCAAGAGTTGTGTTCAATGTGATGCAAAAAGAAATGGTGATGCAGACACCTAAAAAAGACATTTGGGTGACTATTTCAGAAAACCCAATTTCCTGAAAATGTGCCCATAGATTCAAATCCAAACAAGACAAGCCCAAGTTATCAAACAGATATCACTAGCAATCAACAAAGACAGGCAAAATAAAGAACATCACTCACCCCTTTTCTGTCAGAAGGGCGTGGAGCTAATTCCTTCTTGGTCACAACATGGCCTTTGTTTAGGCCAACAGATAGCCCTGTATTCGGCTGTTTTGGAGCCATCGCCTATTTAAAACCACATTCAACATACAACCACAAATCACAAAATTGCATTGCCACAGTAGGACAATGAAAGCAACTGAGAATCACAATTTTCTACAGCTTAGAAAAAAAATATATAATTGAAATACAAATTTTCATGATAAAAATTATCTAAGAAATGGAAAGTGCAAATTTTTCTCCCTTTACTGGTTTGTATAAGCATAAAATAACCGAGGATTTACGTAACTTCAAAACCAAAAAAGAAGGGTATGTACGGAAGCGCTACGCAAATATGAGGTGAAACGGAAAAAGGAAGAGAGGTCGGCGAGTGACACTTACCTCTTCAATCTGTTGGATCTGCTCCGACGTAGTAGGGTTGTGAAAAGAGGAATTAGGGTTTTGGGAGAGTGATGCGTTTTATATACACAAAGTTTTGGGCTCGCACTAAGAAAGAAGCCCAATGAGGGTTCGTTTAATTTTTTATATTTGGCTCGAATTATTAATTTGAGTTTTGACTTGCCAAGTTTTTAAACATGCATTCAATTTATTCAAAACAAGTATTTTAAGCCCTTCTGTACATGTGTCGCTCACTTGTTTTGATATGGATGACCCCTCATATTTATGTCACAAAAATTAATTGACACATCATTAGCCACAATATTTTTATATTCATTTATTAAAAACCTTTCCATTCTTTATTTCTTTTTTACAAAAAGTTAAGTTTAATATGAACAAATTGGAAGTGGCTAGAAATTATATGACATAATACATAACATATAACATGATTCTTAACTTAGAAACAAGCGGATAGTTATACCCTTCAACTTTGATTGTACATAAGTAGACACTTAAACTTGTATAAAATTAAACAAGTAGACACATGTATCCTACATGGAATAATACACGTAGGACGCCACGTAGGACATAGAATTGTCATGTAAGGTGTCATGTATGATGAATGTGTCTATTTATTCAATTTTGTACCAGTTTAAGTGCTTCTTGTGCACACCCAAAGTCAAAGGTCATCGTTGTCAGCTAACGTCAAGTTAAGAGTCATGTTTATGTATTATGTCAAACTATATTTTGTGTTGTAAAACTAAAACAATAAGATAAGACTAATAGATATAAAGAGACAAAAGAGGAGAATTTTCTTATTCTTTCAATAAGTATCATCAAGCGTATAAACTCTTATGACTCTTTTTATAGTGTTACATAGAGACATGCAAAATGTTAGTCATAAACATAACATTAATCATAGAGAAAATGCATAAATCGACGAACCATCAGCCACCAAACAACCACTCAAAATCCAAATCAATCACCAACAAACACCAAATCAGACCCCCTTACCTTATCCCTTTGCGATTTTATTCTTTTGATTTGTTTTACAGGTGTGTCGGCAAGCTCAAAGCTTCAGCCATGGCTCCCATGAAGTTCCAAAGAGCTCCACACTTTCAGATCTGAATAACCAACAAATAATCTGAACAACCAACATATAATCACAACCAACAACACCACTACTACACTCACGTCATTGTGAATCTTTGAGGTTGTGATGAAAAATAAAAAGTTGTGATGAAAATTAAAGAATGAAGAAGAAGAGGGTAATGGGTGGGGATGAAAGATTTTTATTTTTTAATTCTTTTTCTAAAGGGTAATGGGAGGGGAAGGAAGATTTTGATTTTTTTAATTCTTTTTTTAACTTTAATTTTTTATGACGCACCAGTTTTTTATTTATTATTTATTTTTTTGCCACGTCAGTTTTAGGGAGTAATAAATTCAGTTTTAAGTAGTAAAGGTATGTAATAGGTCGTCGGGATAGTTTAAGAGTGTAACTGACTTTTTGGGACAAGTTCAAGGGGAAATCTATGCCTTTTCCCTTAATCATAAAAATAATGGAGGAGGTTATGGAGGTGTGAGGTCATAAAAGTAAAGGTTATCTTCATAGTGGAGGTTCTCCACACTCTAATATTTTATAACACTCCCATTGGATGTTCATAGATAATATGTCTTATTAAAATTTTATCACGAAAAAACTTGTGTGAAAAAATGCTAGTGAAGAAAAAATAGACGACATATCTGTTAATACGCATTATTTGTTGCATCATTAAAAATCTTGTCAAGAAAATTTTGTGGAACAAAACATCGATCAAGGGAAAATCACTCTATTCATGACCTCATTGTTGCATGTAAATTGTCAGATTGACTTGTTCATAGTGACAATCATGTTGTGGATACTTTCATTTACAATTTGATTGTCTTGTAAAATAATTTGATATAACTTTAACGCGATATATACGACTTTATGTAGATCAAATAATCATCCTGCATTTTGCATAACCAAATATTTCTTTTGACAATATTGGTTAGAGACAATAAGTCTATAACAATATTTGATTTCACTTAAATATTTCCACATAAAAGTGAAATTATATCTTCCTGCACATTAAAAATAATAATTCATAAGACTAAATTTAATATTTCTTATGTGGAGATATTTCAGTTTATATCTTTCTTCTGATCATGTATATCAAAACTCATGATATTTTATCTTTTTTATCATGTATAGAAAGAGATTATATCTTGTTTGATATTTATGTTAGAATTTTTTGATGTAATGTTGCGAGAACACTTTCTGGGAGCATATATCTAAAAGTGACCATTATTTACAAAAATAAATTGAGTTGTGCATATTACTTTGATAAATAAAAATTGTTTACTTATAAAACAAATAGAGTAATATAATTATTTCAGTTTTCTTTTAGATAAAAACTAGCTCAAATTTGTATGGAGAAAATTCGAATTTAGTAAAAAGAATAAATCGAACCATGATACATGGTAAAATAAAAATACGAAGGAAGTTTTGTCACATTTTGAAAAGAATGAGAGACACTACTCTTGATATGTCATGAAAGGTCTCGATGACTGTCTGCATTAAACTGTCACACAATCGGGCATCTTGAAGAGACTTCACCCTAGATCGCCTTACAACTAGAACCATTCATAATGACCCTAGAAATTCAACAATTAAGCTCAAACCGCTCGTCTAATCTGTGATACGTCTAGTAATTTGTGACTGGTCTTTGAATCCTAAGTAGCAGCCCTTTCCTAGCTTGCCTCACTCTTAAGTTGGTCTTTTTATATGACTAAGGTGTATTCCACTTGTGCAGTATGGATTAGCCCATAATGTGGTCAGCTATGATATACTCAACTTACTCCAATCAACTTCAGGTGAGGCGTTAGAATATATGAATGTGATATGAAGTAACTTTTTAGTGCCACACAAGTCGTCGTTTCTCATTGACGTGACAATTAAGCTTTTGTGACTTATAAAAGGAAGCTCTGAAAAAAGTAAAGGACATCAGTGAAAATTCCAAGCAATATCATATTTGTCTTTTGTTCTTCTTTCCTTAAAATTCCTATAAAAAATGTTGAACTCTCCCCCTCACTTATATTCTTTTTTTACTCTAAGAAAATTATATTCTTGTATTGAATCATGACCTTAACATTTTAGCCAAAATAATGGTTTGATCAACCTTAACTCACTCAACTTTTTTCTATTAACCAAACAACAATTTTTCCTGTAAACAAAATCAAATCTCAAATACTCATATTTATTCATCAAACCCTTACTTTTTTTTATTTTATTTTAAAAACAAATAAACAAAGCTAGAGACAAAACCATAAATTATTAAAAATCAAGGTGCACATATAAATAATTACACTTTAAACTAAGTCTGGCAACAGAATCGGGAGGTGCCGGTTTCGGTTTCGATTTCGGTCCGTTACCGATTCCGTCTCGGTTTCGGCTTGTATCGGTTAGGTCCGTTTTTACGCGGGTCCGGGAGGGATAACGGGACGGAAAATGGGATTTACCGGTTAGTCCCGATCCCGGTCCGGTCCAATTCGTTTTTTTTTAAAATCTTAATTATGTAGCCGTTGAGAGCCATTGGGCAACGGGTTTTGGGCCCTACCAACGGCTCTTTCACCCCCATAACTCCCCTCTACACCTCCCTACCTCCTAAACTTTTTTTAATACCCCAACCTTCTAAAAACTACATTTTCATCCTTTTTTTTAAACTATAAATACCCCCAATCTTTCATTCTTTTCACTCACAAAAATATTATCTTCTACTCTCTCTAGTCTCTACTCTATAATCTCTTATTCTCGTTAAAATTACAAATTTGATCTTTGGAAATTGGAGCTTCAAAATTCAACTTTCAATTTTTGGCTTTCGGTCATACACGCCTACTTTTTTAAGTAGACGTTTGGTACATTCGTTCCAACTCACTTTTCATTTAGTTATTTATTTGTTTGCATTTAATTATTTATTTTTTGAGTAATTAGTATCTAGTCTCTACTTATTTAGTTATTTATTTGTTTAAAACTTTGCATTACATTTTCGTATTATATATAATTTACTCACTTTTTATATTTGAATATGAATTCTGGTAAAAACAATGTTGACAAGGGTAAAACAACCATAGTTGATTCGATCACTAATTTATGGAGCACAAAATCCAAGAAAAATAGAAAACCCGATAGTACTTCTAAATCTAAAACTAAAAAAACTTCTCAATTAAGAATAAATACGGATGATTATACGCATGTTGATGAAACTGTTTTTAATATTGATAGTAATAGTGGATTAGATCCTTATCATGAATATTTACAAAGAAGGTTTGGTAATTTTGATGAGGAATTACCTAAAGATGATGAACATGATGATGTTAATGATTATATTGATAGTTTTGCTAATAATGTTGATGAATATGATGATGATGAAACTCAGCCAGCTACGGCTACTCCCACTCCCAATCCCTCTTCCCCTCCCGCTCCCTTTCGTTGTCCTGCTCCCGTTCCCCCGTGCATCCTAGGACTAAGGTAGAACACACTAAACAATCAGTTGTGTGGCAATTTATGACTCAGAATGAAGATAAAACACAAGATATTTGTAATAAATGTAAACATAGAATGAATCATAAAATTATAGGAAAACAGGGTGGGACGGGACATTTGAGTAATCATTTAATGTCATGTTGTAAAAATGAATTTTTGCATGCTAAAGCTGTAGTCGAAGCTAAAAAGAATGGTACCACCCTTCCTGAAAATGTAGGAGTAGAGGGCTCTAATATGGTCCAAACAATTAAATTCTTCTAATGTTTCTGGCTCTAGTATACAACAGTCATATAGTAGAGAAAAAAATCTTGAAGAATTAGCTAAACTGATTGTTGTTATAGGTTTGCCATTTAGTTTTGCTGAAAATCCCGGTTTTATTCATTATATTCAAATTGTGTATAATCCACATTTTAAAAGTTTTACTAGAAATACAATTAAAAAGCTATATTTGATTATCAAGCTCAACATTTTCAA